GTGTAAACATGCAACAGAATGTTATTTCCTCAGTCTTTTGGTGAAGATTGTTATATACACTGTCCAATTCTTAAATCCAGTGTAATTGAAACAAAAAGCAATGTATTTACAGATTTTTACTACAATTCAGGAAGCATAATTCACTTAAATGCTGTGAAAAAACAAAGTCATTTCACTGCTGGTATGTAATATACTGGCAGCATGGAGTGATCAGGAAAGTCAGCAGCCTTAAAAGAACACGTTTTATCAGATGCTTGCTAAAGAGATATCTTAGTAGTAAAGCATTGTAGAGAGACAGTAGCAATTCAGTTCTAGAAAAGTCAAATTTTTAGTCATGGTAGTGCTTTGAGCACTAAAACAGTTCCTAACATGTTTCCCTTGGCTTACGTTGTGTATGTAATATCTGGCAATAAATGCTATTATAAAATAGAAATAACATTTTTATAGGCAATAACCTAAAGCACAGTTTGTCCTGCAAACCCTTATCACAATGAAGTGCATTTGGGACAATTAAAAAACATATTCATTTGCAGCAAATGGCTGTGAGTCATACACAGAGGCCTTCTACCTAATCTGGGAAAGGTTATCTTATCGTTTCTAAAGGTTAATATCAAATTTATTAATGTGTCCAAGATGTATTTAATCTGAAAAAGCAGTAGATTATAAAGATCAAAGCCTAAGAAGTAGGTAACTACTATACCTTTTATTAGGAGTTCAAAAATAATTTTATTTCATACACAATTGAATGCTTTTATCTCAAAAAATGAAAAATTCCAATAATATTTTTTTTTTGTGTATAGCGAATGAAGAGGCCTAGAAAGGTACCTGAAGTCCCTTTTTATAGAGAAAAGATTGCGGCTTTCAACATGTTGCTGCCAGCTCAAGCTGATCCTCTCTACTCCATTCAGCCCAGCCTATGTTGTACATAGTGTAACCTGTGCAGTAATAACCTGAATTATCTGTTCCTGCATAGCTATTCTTGCTATATTTGCTTGGGCAAAGGTGCCTGATTCCTGGCGGCATAGCCTTGAGCACTATATTAGTCTGAGCTTCCCATTCCAAACTTTCAATAGTATATTTGAGAAAAATCATTTTGTCCTGATCAAATGGGCCAGGCTGAGCTGGATGCAGCTGTACTGTTGATGGCGAGGTACAGGTAAGTGCGTGTTGGTGATTAGAGGTATTCGGGGGCAGGGGTAGAGAAAGGAGCAAGAAACAAGTCAGAGTTCACTTCTTCCTCCTGGTAAATCTCTGATGGCAGTATTCATCCAGAAGTTCAGGTGGCTATTCAGGTTACAGATTAAATAAAATTTCTTAAAGCACATCTGCACCGAAGCAAAAGATGGCAGTGGTAATTCCAGCAGCTCCTTATCTGCCTGTCTCTCCCAAGAACCATTTGACAAGGTTGTTGCCACCATGCTTCATCCGCGAGGCAGGCAGAAATGGATCTGGCCACCAGAAAAGAAGCAGGCACAAGGGGAACAGAAGCGGCCGCCACAGGTCCTAGGGAGAACGAGCTGGTCTGCAAGGGTCCAGTTTGGGGATGAGCCCAGGAAAGGAGGCAGCACCAGAGCAAGAGATGCCAGAGAAATGACTAATGCCTTTGTTGTCCTTGTGGAGGGATGTAAAGAGGAGATATCCTGGCAATGACCAATGAAGTCATTTGTTATGGATGGCATTGTGTGTGAAAATTATCTATAGTAATTCCATTTGAGGGTGGACATTTTCCCCCTTCCCTCTTTTCTGTGAATCATTCAAAATGGATTCCAATCCAACTGGGAAAAAATTAAACAAATCTCTGATGACTTGATGCTGCTAATCTTGCATTGGTAATTTAAAAGAAAAAGTACACTGGAATTACATACCCAGTAGGGATGGCTCTATACTACAGCACATGCGATGCTTTTTGTAATTGTCATGTGGGTAAAACATATTTTTAAAGCAGTAACGCAGGCAGGCTAGATTTAAACCAGCAGTTCTTGGCCCTCTGGTATCCCATTGGGGTTAGGGAAGAGTAGGACTTAGGGGAGGAAAGGGAGAAAGGACGTGGCGAAAGCAGTTTTGTTCTAGATAAGACTCTGCATCCTGCTTCACAATCTTGTGAATTTCCCCTCTTATCCTATAAGGACTTGTGAACCATTTTTACACCTGCTGCAAGAAATAGGTGCTTTGGCATATTTTTTTCAAAGGAAAGTCTCAGGATGATTAGAAAGATGGCAGCAGCTGTCTTTATAGCTTAGGACCTGAGGTTTCTGCCTGTCCAGGCAATGAAATACCGCCTTCACAGAAACAGCAAGAGTTTAACAAGCACAGAAAATATCTTCCCTTCTCTGTCAGGGACTTCTAGCAGATGAATACTTTCTCAGGCTTCTTGACCTGGTTAAATTTCAACTAGTACAAGTATGATGCCTCAGAAACCATAATTCCTACTCTCCCTTTCAGCATGGGGAGTACCATAAATTTAAAAAAGTAATTAAATACTTAGCACTGTCTTTGCTGATAGTCTATTTAGCTGCAGCCTCTGAGCCTGTTATGTATAGTTGTGGAGTAAAGATACAGTGTTCTGCCAGAAGCTGATGAATGCATCAGCTTGTGTCATGTCACAGTACTGAATTTGTTCTTTTGTCTTTTTTTTGCAAAAAAACTTTATTTACGTGGACATGGCAGTTCCCTAAAGCCTTTTCAGAGTGGCCCTGAACTCAGCTAGAAAAAGGAAAACATCACGTATGACTGAAAGATGTAGATTTTGGGCACATCTCATCAGCACTGGGATTATGGAAGAGGTGGGGAGGAGCAGAAGACAGAAATGGAGACAGGGAGCCCAGGTTGGACAGACAGCATGGGGAAGAAGCAGGATCACCTGCAGCAGAAAAAGCTTTTGGCAGATATTAATGGCCTCCTGTCCACTGATCTGGGGTCAGCTACAGATCCACCACTATACCATCCTTCTCCACATGTCATGGTCTTACACAGGTTCAGCATGGGTATAAACCACTCTGGAGAGCCAAGCAGCTGGGCCTGGTGCAATTTGGTTTAACCCTGTACAGAGAACCAAGGTACCTCAACACCCACTTCCACAGCCGAACACTGTAACACCTGCCTATTTCTTGGTCATTCACTTTTGTATTTGTTTGTTTCTTTTTACGTTGTTTTGCTTTGTTATTAAACGTATTTATTTCCAGGCAGCTGTGATACATACAACAACGTTTGCACAACAGATTCAGAGTACTGTTTATTTTAGCTGATTTACTCCTAAAGCAAGCTTCTGCATGAGTTTTGGGGAAAGAAGGAAGAAGAAATTGTGCCCAAAGACTCTGTAAGTATCAAACTCATTTAAAATCACATAAAAACATTCACAAAAGTGCTCTGCAGAAAGCGTCACGCTCGCATCGCTGCATCCTATTTTTCTTGCAAGCCATGGCGTGCGATGGCTGGGTGTAGATGTCCAAGGCGTCTCTGATTTACCTGGCCTGCCTGTGCTGTCACAGTGGCAGCAGATGTACTTTCTTCTATCACATGAATAAGCTTAAGCTTCAGCTTATTCAGTGTAATAATTTTTGCAGTTTACTTTCACAGTGTCACCTCATAATTGATAAATTAATACTGAATCTGGCGTTTGTTAAGATTAGAACGAGTAGTTACGATACACTTTCATCTGCATTTGTGTGACATCCAGTGGCTGGATGGGTCAATCACAGGCTCCCATTTCTTGTGAAAGGTGTAAAAATGGTTCACAACTCTGTTTAGAACACGAAAGCAGGAAATGTATTGGATATTAATGCCAACAGAGCGATTGCTTAATTTTGGTTTAAAAATAAACAGGTGATTAAAGCAGCTTGTTCAAGGGAACACGTTACAGATATGTACGCGTGTAACTCGTCGTAGCCTTTAGAGCTCTTTCCCACTGCTACTGATGTGAACTCATTTTCTCTGTTCCCGCTGGCCACGGAGAAATGAATAAACAATATATCACCCTGGTCAGAAATCAGTAATTTCTGTTTTCCTGCATTTAACTGTTGACTGCACCATCAGTGTTAAGACTCTCATCAATTTTGTCAGGAGCAGTACTGAGATAGGAGACAAATTTTGATTAAAACCTTTGAAATATCCAAAATAACCAAATACAATAAGATTGCCACACCCTATTCAATTAGACTTCTGAAAAGTTGTTTAAATTGAAAGATCTAGAACTCCAGTCTCGTGTTTGAAATAACTGCCTGCAATTAAAGTAATTGGTGGCAGTTGTGCAAAGTAGTTTCTTTCACATCAGCACTGCTCTCAACATTTGTAGGAGTTTATTTTGTTTTTCTTCTACGCAGGTAATGAATTAGTAACAGTTTTGTTTATTGCACACTCATATAAAAAACACAGTTATCCCAGAGCATTTTTTGCACTGTTACTATAAGTAGCATCTACTAATGCTGAAAAGGAAAAAGATGAGAACATAAAAGTTTCTCTGCTTTTCCAGTCTGCGTTACAGGGTCCATAAACCTGCTTCATAAATCCAGGTAATTTCTTGTGTGTGCAGGTTTTTTATACACCAGAAGGTAAAATACATTATTTTTTAAAAAATATTATTTTTTAGTCTCATAAAAGTTAACAGAGAAATTGAGCATTGATGTCTAGTGTCTGAAATGACTTTAAAATTGTGTTTTCAAACTGGCCAAATTTCAGGCTTAATATTTCTTGCTGGTGAACTATTACAAGGATGTAAAAATATTATTTTTGCCAGTAAATTTCCTGTTAATATAAATAAATTGGACGCACACACAAAAAACACTGTGCCAGCCTGGGTACTGCATACGAGGCAAATGTTACCAGCAGAGACAGGAAAACAGCAGCTGTGCACCATTCTTGGACACAAAGTCCTCAGGAGTCACGAGGTTAGCGCAGGATCTGTTTTTTCATGCCTGGTTTTGCTGACTACAGAGTCACTTAGTCAACGATAATAATCAGAATAAAAGTCCTCTCCTAAAGTTAGATTAGTTTTATGCTAATCTATGGCAAGGAAAAGCAAGTCAAATCTGTCAGAATTGTATCTAGAAGAAAACAAAGATCAGATATATGAAAATGCCCTTGCTGAGATCCAGTCCTTTGAGCTGCCTCTTGGAACCACTCTAAGGTATGCATCTTTGAGATAATATTATATTGTTCATGATGGATTTGTTCCATTCTATAGCTGTTATTTCAGTCAGCCCAATATATTACAAACTTTGTTTTCCTGACCCTGAAATCTACAGGAAAGCTGAGTTTAATTTCAATGTGATTGGCCTTAAATGAGAAAATACAAACCAAGGTCACCTGCTCAGCCCTTTCTTTTCACTAGGACAAAGCTATCTGTTACTGAAGGCTGGCTGCAGATTCTCTGGGAAGAAAGAAATTACTCTTAAACATGAAAACAAGGGGAAATTTGCTCTTTTGTGTAACAGTGTTTTTAGTTTGATGTTAACAGCTACATTTTTAAGGAATTAATTACTTAGATTTTTAATAAATACAACTTTTTTTTTAAATCACTGAAGACACAACTACTTAAAGTTTTACTGTTGATATTCCTAAATATCTGAAGATTTTAATATTTTTTTCATTTGCAGCTTATGGAATCTGTTTAATGGTAAAAGTGCAACTGAAAAAAATTTCCTCTGCATATTCATCCTTGCAAAAAAGTAATACATAAAAGACTATGATGTTATGTGTCTAAGTATATTGTCAGTATCTGTAGAAGAGTTTTAAAAATAGCCTGCCTGGCACTGTAGGCGTCAGGTTGCAATGACTATCAGGCTAAAGAAAGAAAATTTAATTCACCCTGAAAAATACATGTGTCAATCTATTACTTCAGTAATTTCGTGATGAAAAAAAAGAGGAATGTGGGAAGATTGCTACTGCATTTGAGTGATTTCTTGAAGGAAACACTACTGCAGCAGTAGCCTGTAGGATTTTTCCTGTTTTCTTTCTGCAGTATACACTTTGTAGGCACTTGTCTCCATTTGGAACAGTTCTTGTTGATTTTAGTAGGTGTCATCAATAAATTCATCTGAATCAACACTGAATATGATAAAGCCACAAGCATAGACAAGATGTGCAGAGCATTCAGTGCCATTTATTAACCAACGTCCAGGTGTAGTTGCACCAGGGCAGGAGACGCGATGAGTTTGATTACAGTACCTGGAAGGGTGCCAAACACAAGTGTAGCTGGCTGCAGTCTAGACTTTGATGTATTCATGGTTGTAAACTGCTGTCAGTTCCTCACGGGAAAAGTAGCCACACGTCACCCCGAAGTTTTACACTTCAGGCCTATTTCTTTATGTTGGCTTCCCACGTGTGCGCAGATAACTTTGCCCAGAAAGCAGGTGTATCCTGTCTCCCGAGCATGCAAAACCCAAGAACTAGCTCATCTTTGGCCACAAACCACTAAGTGTATAATTTAAATAGAAAATGGGCTATTCCTCCTTCATTGAAAAACGAAGCTTTGCTGTGCAGATGCTGGGGGCACTAGGAAGCAATATGCCGGTTGCTCGAGAAACGCAGCAAGCCAATGTGCAAAAAGGTGCACTTCTTGGTGGTTCTAGTTTTACCCCGACCCCCGAACTTCTGTCGCCTAAAGAAAGGAAGGAAGGAAACACGTCGGTGACCCAACTTGAAGGCAGAAGCCCCCGCAGAGCTCCCGCGCCAGCGGCCGGTGGCAGCGCGCTCCGCCCCGCGCCGCCGCCTCCCGGCTGCGACGAGCACGGCCCGCGCCCACGGCGGCGGGGGGCCGTCAAAAAACCCCCCGGGGCGGGAGCCCCCCGCCCCCCGCCTAAGGGGGGGGGAGCCGTTAAAAGCGAAACAAAACAAGTAAATTTAAAAAAAAAAAAACCACCCCAAGAAACAAACGAGAACAAGCTCAGAGAGAAAGGCTGGTGCCGACCCTATGAGCCTTCAAGGCGCCTCTGCAGCGCGGTGCAACGGGGCGCGGGAAGGGCAGCTGGTCCGTCCGTAGCGCAGCCGGGAGAGGGGTCGGGTGCTGGGTGCCCCTCTTCTGCCCCAGGGCGCTGAGCGGGGCAGAGCGGGTGGCACCAGGCAGGGGCAGCTGCCCGCGGATCTCCACCGGACACCAGCGCCCGGAGCTGCCCGGGCGACGGAGGGGCTTTGCCGGGCTCCTGGGGCGCCCCCGGCGCAGCCCTTCCCCTGACAAGGGCCGCGGGGCACCGGCCAGCTGGGGCGAACCGGGCGGGCGCG